CACTTTTTTTTTCTATTTTTTAATACCATGGATTGAATCCAGGGGCACTTAACCACTGAGCCACATCCCCAGTCCCAGCACCCCCCTGCCCTAACTTTTTATGTTTTATCTTGAGACAGGATCTAGCTGTTCTTTACTGCCTCCCTAAGTTGCTGAGGCTGGCTTTGAATTTGCAATTCTCCTGTCTCAGCCTCCTGAGCTGCTAGGATTATTGGTGTGTATCACCACATCCAGACTTTTAACTCTCCTTAGTATATTATTGATGCACCAAGGATTTTAATTTGATAAAGTCCAATTTATCTACTTTTTTTTGTTGCCTGTGTTTTTGATGTCATAACCAAAGAATCATTGATATTGAACATCTGTATTGATCACTTTCTTCAGTTTTCATTGTTGTTTTCTAGAGTGAACTGTTAATTATAAAGTTTGACACACATTTTATTTAAAAGCATAGATATTTTACTTTTGCTTTCAATTAGGAATTGAACTCAGGATTCAATGAGCTACATTCAAATACTTTTTTAATTTTTAATTTTGAGATAGGGTTTTACTAAGTTGCTGAGGGTCTTGCTAAATAGCGAAGGCTGTCCCCAAACTTCCAAACTTCCAGCCCTAGCCTCCTGAGTCATTGGGATTACAGGTAGGTGCCACTGTGCCCAGTGATATTTTACATATTTATGTTGTCAAATCTATCATCCTCTTATGAGCTCTGACTTGGTAATTATGCTGAGGAAGACTTCCTGAATTCTAAGATTGTAAAACTATTGGATGATATATTCTTTTAGTAATTTTCTTTTACAGTTAAAACTTTTAACTTATTTTGAATTTATTTTGATAAAAAATGTGATGTGTGTGTCTAAATTTATTTTTCCTAATTGCTTTTACTTCTTTTACAGTGAATAAATACTTTCTTTATATGTCACTGACTGCATTAACCTTGTGTGCCCATTTCTATCCATTGTTTGGAATCTATCCAATTTTTCTTCTTAAAAATACTCCTTCAGCTATCCATTAATTCATTTTAGACCAATTTCTTGTTTATTCCCCTTTCTCTTCCCACTGCTTTCTGAGGTGTATTAGTTTTCTATTGCTGTCACAAAATTACTACAAGCTTAGAGGCTTAAAACAACACCCATTTGGTATGTCACCTTCCTACAAGCCTGACATCTAGTTACAGTGTGGCTCAACCCAGTTTTCTGCTTAGGGTCTAGCAAGGCCTCCCAAAATATTATCAGAGTGGTGCTCCTTTCTTGAGAGTCTATGGATGAATGTTCTTCCCCATTTGTTCAGGTTGTTGACCCAATTCAGTTCCATGCTTTTGTAGGACTGAGGTCCATGTTTTCTTGATGACTGCTGGATTGAGGAGTCATCTCAACTTCTAGAAGCAATCTATGTTCTTTGGTTCATTACTTCATTTTTAAAGCTAGTCATAGTGAATTGAGTCTTTCAACTACTTCAGATCTCTCTGACCCCTCCTGCTTTAATCCTTCTGCTTCTAAATGGAGAAAAGTATCTAATTTTTAGAACTCCTGTGATTATATTGGGTTCATTGCATAATTCAGGACACACAATTTTCAGGCTGGTAACCTTAATGGTACCTGCAAACTTTCTTTTGCCCTGCAACATGATATACTCATAAATTCCAGGGATAAGGACATGGACATTTTCGTGGGCCAGTCTGTCTCCATACTCTTATATTTCACATCTGTTATTTTTGTATTTCACTCTTATATTTCTGGAGAGCATCTCTCAGACAGAGTATATGATTAAGCTTTCTAAATTATGTTGTGATGTGATTTTTGTCTTGACAGGAAATAGAATTCTAAATTCAAAATAATTTCAGTTTAGAGTTTTGAAGGCCTTGCCCTTTGGTATCTAGTGTTTCTGATGAGAAATTTGATGCTAATTCATTATTCCTTTAGGTCAGATTCTTGCTTTTGGAGCTTTTAGTCTTCTTTATTTTTTTCATGCTTTAAAATGTCTTGTTTATTTGGCTAGGTTTGTTTCTTTTACCATTTATTTTGCTCAGACCTAGGTGAATCCTGCCAATCTGGAGACTTTATGTGTTAATCTTTAGTTCCTTGTAATTTCTCAATTATTTCTTTGATAATTTTCAGTCTTTCCAACATTTGCTGTTGTCTCTGGAATTCCTATTAGTTATATGATAAATTACTCCTCTATGTTTTTTCCAAAATGCCTACATTTTTGTTTGAATACTGTATGTTCTGGAATGTTTCCTCAATTGAATCACCTTACCATTCTATTATAATTTTAATTTCTGCAAACATATTTTTAATTTTGGCAGTCTTTTCTTATTCTCTGACATTCCTGTTTCAGGGTAATGATTTTTCTGATACCATATTTTCTTGAGTATGTTTTAGGAAACTTATTTCCTGTTAAATTTATTTCTAGGAAGTTCACATTGCTATTATTAATCATTATATTTCATAAATATATTGATTTTGTAAGATAAACAGCTGCTTTACTGAATTGTTTTATCAATTACAATACATTCTTTTATACTCTTGCTTTTTCCAGGTAATCATATCATTGATACATAATATAAATTTTATGTCATTTTTTCTTGTCTTATTGCATCACTGATGAGAATTTCAAGAATAACATTGGTAATTGTTTTAATGATGTCTGTGGCAGAGCTGCTAATCTCATTTTTATTTTGTAATAGATGATCTGACTTTAAGGTGTAGCAGGGCACAGTGTTCCAGATAGATTACTTCCCCACCATTCCTTTAAGAGGATATTCTGTTGAAAACATTTTAGTTTTACATTTTAAATCTATTTTCACCAGATTATTTGCCCATAAAAGGACTCTAAACATCTGATAAATTCTAGTTTTAGAGACCAGATTTGAGAAAAAAATTTATTTTAAGTATGTTGTCCACATTTAAAAAAGTATTTCCTATACCTGCATTATCTATCTTATTAGAATTGAATATTTGAATATTATTCAGTAACTTTTTAAAATTGAGATGATCTCTTTCATCTGGAATGATTAATAAATATTTTGAATTATCCTTTCACTTTAAAAATAAACTTCACTTGATTATAGTAAAATACTCTTTTAAGACATTATCAAACTGATTTTGCTAAAGTCTACAATTTTTTGCACATATGTTTACAAATAAACATCAAATATGAGCCTGGTATTGGAGATACCATGAGCCACATGCTGTCTCTGCCATCACTGGGCTTATAGTGAGTGATTTTAAATGCTTTTTTTAGGATGCTGAAGGTTGTGTTACCTTCTAAAAATAAGCCCCCAAAGTCTCCATTTTCCATTTTCTCTGCTTTGAGATTAAAGAGCAAGAATTAACTGTTAAAGAGTTTTTAAAACTCCCCCATAAATCTAAGTAGGCTGGATGATTATAATTTGGTGTAAGTACTTTTAGCATATGTTTTCCAGTTTTGTTATTTACCAAATCCAGTTTTCTATCTTCATTTGTTGTTTTCCTTGAAAAGTTACTATTGTGTTTTGATAGTACATATTTGCTCATGAAGTTGTGTAGTTATAAATTTTAAACCTCCCTTTTAAATTACCATTTTTACTGGCAATATTCTTTCTTATTACACATCACAGAAACCCATGAATTTTATTGATATTGGTAAGAAGTAGCTTAATATGAGAATATTTTATCATTTATTAATTTTATCATTCTTTTTAATTTTTTGTTACTTTTTCAATAATCAGTTATTTTGTTCTTCCTTTCCAACTTCTTCAAGTACATGCTTGGTTTATTTTCATACTTTTTTATTTAAGTAAAATTATTTTCTTCTAAAGCTTGATTTATATCTTATATTTTCAATATAGTATTTTTCAATGTCATTACATTTTAGTGTATAATTGCAATCTATTTTCCTTTTAGACTCAGGTGATTAATAAGGTCTTTTAAAATTAAATATTTTATTTTTAGGGATACTATTTTTTATCTATTATTTTTTAGCTTCTATTTTATGATGTTTACTTGCCCAAATTTATCTTATCCTTCTATGACTAATATATCACTTCCTTCAAGAGGCCTCTGCCAGGCTGTGTTTTTCCTTTTCTTTATATACATCCTTTACACATAAAGTATTTGTTTATCCTTCCACTTTCTCTGACCCCCGCTCTCAGGCTATTTTGTTCACTTTATGAAATTTGCTGTTGATTTCATTTGTAAATTTTCCACAGCAAGATTACATTCAATGCAACAAATATTGAGACCTATGCATCATAAGTACAAGGAATAGTATTAAATGGAAGATAGAAGTCTTTCAAGAAATTAAGCCTAATAGGAAAAAGTAATAACTCGACTTGTACTCAAGATAACATCCTGTGTACAAATAGCTCACAGAAGTGGAAAATAAAGGACAGAAATGGTCAAACCCATTTCAAACTGTACTGAAGAGGAAAAAGGGAAGGGATGGTTTGGGTACCACTTCACCGTAAATAGCCTAATAATCCAACCCAGTGATAATCCAAGTATATAGTCCATAGCACCTGCCTCACAATCACTTGGAGGTAAGCGGAAAACAAATCCACACTTACTGAAATTAGAATGGAGAAAGGAGCATTTAGACCTGTGTTTTAAACAATTCCCCAGGACATAGGACATCCAAAGTTTTAGACCAGTGCGAAGCCAAATTTCTCAGATCTCTTCCCCAGTTATCACTCCCTCCTTCTAGGGGGAGGGCGGCCTCCGGAAAGTCTTCTTGTCCCCTCCCTCGGAGTTGTCCGCTTTGTCTCAGGTCACCCAACCTGGTGCAGGTCTCCACGCGCGGGACCAGCCACCGCCCGCCGCCAGCTCCACACGCGGGGAGTTGCAGGATGGTCCGACAAAGGATTGGGGGGAAAAGCATCAGGCCAACCTAATGGGTGGGAGGGGCAGCAGGAGAGCTGGGCAGAACGTTTTTTTTGATTGACGCGAACTTTCTCCAATGAAAATGAAGCACTCGTGAAGCTTCCGCCCTACTGGGCAAAACATTTAGCAGCTTTCAACCAATCCAGCCCGTCCTAGAGGCCGCTGAGGTCGTTCGAGTCTGTTGAACGGCTTGTGGAAGTCGTGCTGCCTTGGGTAGGGGTTTAAAATCGTTCTTGAGAGGAACATCTCTGTCCGAAGAGAAAATGAGTTTAGCTCTGAGGTCGGTAACAAAGAGGCGGCAATGCCCACACCCCGAAGCCGGGCCCAAGGGCGGGTGTAGGGAAGGGAAGCCATTTGCAGCCCAGGCAAGGAAGAGGTTGCAGTTTGGGATGAGCGAAAGGAACCTTTGCCAACCTGTCCGGACCCCTCACTCAGGGGCCCTGGGGTCCCGCAGGTGATGAGCCCAGAGCTTTTCGGTGAAGGCGGTCATTTCTGTCAGAGCGTTGGGCTTGCGTCGGCCCAGAAGACAGGTTTTGTTGCGAGCCAGGAGGGAGTGAAATATCGCGAGGTTTCTACCGGTGTTTGTGTGAAAAAATCAGGCCCTGGAGGTTCCCTTCCTACCGTTCCTGGTGCCTGCTGTATACCTCAGCTAACATAATAACCCACCTGTGAATGTGGGAAAGAACATAAAAGCTTGGTGTACTCTGAGAGTCATGCTTTACTTGATAATTGGGGACCCATTTTAGTGACTTCCACTGGCATTCTCACCTAGATTTCCTTTTTGAATTTCTTGAGCTTTCATTCAATTCCAGTCTCTGACCCTCTGTATGTTGCCCTCTCGGTATTTAGACGATGTACTTTATCCACAAAGTTATGCCATTCTAGAAACGTGCATTGCTGTGCTTAAAGGCAATCGTGGTCCCCATTGGCTGTGTTCACGTGTGTGTTCTGGACTTGGACTTTCTGAGTTTTGGGAAGGGAATGACTGACCTCAGGAATGCCCAGATTTGTGTAAAGTCAGGTCACTTGTAAAGGAAAATCAGCTTTATCATACTGTTCCTGCTGGTCACTTTCTAGCTATCTCGTCATTTTTTGGGGTATGTGTTAAAGACCAAAATGACTTTGAAATGAAATTGGATAACACATTCGAATACTGTCAACTTTTTTTATATGTCAAAATTTTACAGGATTCTTTCATGTTTTAAAACTTGTGCTTATACACGTGTTGCACCCTCATTTAAAAACTTGGACCACTTTATAAATTGGCAGCTCTTAAGGAGTTCATCTCTGACTTTAAATTTTGCTTTTTATTTTTTTTAAGCATTTCCAGAGTTTGTTAGGAGAAAGAAGTTTTAACATATAATTTACATGTTAAGTGAAAATTACTTTTCACATTTTCTTAAAAAATTAAGTGCAAATATTATGTACTAAGTTTTGGTCTCTAATATTTGTGATATCTTTTGGCCTATAAATATTTTGGTTGATTTGTTAATATCAGTGGAAGAAATTACAAATAAAGTACCAAACTGTTAGAAAAACATAATCTAAAAACATTGTAAATCTAAAAATTTAGAATGCCAAAATAATTTTATAAGTCATAGATAAATTACATGGTTCTTTTTTAGGTAGAAATTTTAAGAACTTATTTAAAAGTACTATCAAAAGTAAATGAAGTATGTAGTTATTATCAATTATTAATTTCATTTGGAAGCTTTTTAAATGATTTTATAGAATGTTGTGAATATGGTATGGGTGCTTTGGTTCTCAGGTAGTAGGAGGGAAGAGGGAAAGTTTGATATTATTTCTTTTAATAATAAGCCGATTTATAACTATTCAGTTTTGGGAATACAAATTATGAGCCCATAAGTCTAGCCTTTTAAGATTGAAATAAGCAGAGCTTTGACTTATAGGGAAAATTTCTTTATGATTCTCCAAAATGTTTCCTTTTATGAAACTTGGAAAATTGGGCTGGGGTTGTGGCTCAGTGGTAGCATGCTTGCCTAGCATGTGTGAGGCACTGAGTTTGATTCTTAGCACCGTATACAAATAAATTAAATAAATAAAGGTCTGAAATTTGCAAAATCACTCTGTGGCTAGTTTGCAAAATATATTTGGATTAAAGTGAACTAAAGGCTTTTCTTTCCATTTCATAGAAGTGAACTTGTAGTTGACAAAACAAAAAGAAAAAAAAGAAGAGAACTTTCTGAGGAACAGAAGCAAGAAATTAAAGATGCTTTTGAGCTATTTGATACAGACAAAGATGAAGCAATAGATTATCATGAATTAAAGGTAACTAAATTAAAATATTTTTCTATAAAATGATTTGCATTTTTCATAGTTTAATATATATTTCTAAATAATTTTAATTAAATTGATTTTGGAATTATAAAGCCATTTTAAGCACTCACAAGTGCTGTAATAGAATGGAATCAATTCCCTGGCAATCAATTCCCTAGCTTTTAGAAAATCTTTTTCATTTAATTAATGAAATGAAATATATTTTAAATATAAAGTTATTTTAAAAGGCATTTTAAATATAAAAGTTTATTCCTATGGAAGGTGATTATTTTTCATTCACATAATTAAACCATTTCAGAACATGGAGTTTAAACAGTTCTTATCATATTCTTTGGTTTCTTTCCTTTGTAGGATGGGGATTACTCATACTTTTGTAATTAGAGGAACATTATCAGTTTTTGCATATTACCTTTGTTATGTATTAGTAACAAAGTACCAACCTACTTTCTTTAGTGCAAACACTATAAATTGTTTGATACTTGATGTTGATGCACACTAATGGGGATAAATGTCAGTCTTGAGGCTTGGAATTATTTATAAAGATAAAATGGAAAATTGGTGTCTAGGGTTATAGGGGTCTTAGAGAAGGATGGCATCTTGAGATTTTGAGTTTTCTTTAATGGATAGGTGAATATAAATGTGTACTTGGTAGTTTTAATTTTGGTAACTTTGTAAGGGATTTTTAAGTAGAAGAATTCCAAATAGGAATAGGAACTATACAGTGACATGATAGAACATATAAAAGCAATGATGAAAGTCTAGCCTTTTCAATCCTGCAGTCCTCATTAACTCTCTTTTTCTAGTTGTTCTTTTTTTTTTTAATTTGGTAATTACCCACATTTGTTCTATTCTTCCTTTGTAATGTGTCTTCCATTTGTTACCATTGTCTGTCTTGGTTTGGGACTCATTTCATAGCTGAATATTCCTATGTTGTTTCCCCACTTCTAGTTTGTCTTGTATACTACCATTAGATTCAGATCTTCCTTACATTTTCTTTCCATATTGTTCATTGCTGACAAACTTCTATGACTCCTTATTACACACTGTATAAAGGTTCAGATTCCTTTCTTTCTGTTGAATGCTTCCTATATTTCTATTACTATCTATTTTTCTCATTTGCTATCTGCTCTCATCTATTTGAACTCTTCTCCTTCTGATAAGGTAAATAGTTCTGTTCACCTCAAACCTATTCTTTATTTTAGTGTGTAATTTTAATGCCACTCATCCTTTCTAAATGTCCCATTGCTACACTTTATCTATTCATAAGGGACAACTTGAACTCTCCAAGTAAGACTTTGTTAACCAGTAACATATTACTCCTTTCTGTTACTAGCAACAAAACTTCTCTTTCTGTTTCCTTCATTGTTAACCTCAGGATTCTGGACCACTTCTTTAGTAAATAGTCATTCAGGATTTGATGGTAATTCTTAATCCTTTTGTCTCTTCTCTTATATAACTTTCTAATACTTATGCCATGTCTTTTCTCTATTTTGATTCTAATTCCTTGAGAACAAATATGTTGTTGAAATTATACTTGTATTAACTCAGTACATTGTAGAATATACAAACACTTGTTAGTCATATAAAAAAGTAAAATATAAATGAAAAATATTTCTATTAAGTTTCAGTGGTGAAGAACAACTACATTAACACTGCTATTTTAGAGATATAAAACATTTAAAATAATTATATTTTATTAACATTATTTCTTAATATGTAAAATCTCAAGAATCAGAAATCACTTTTGTAAAGAATGCTTTATAATTTGCTTTTCCCTTTTAATCCAAAAGGTGGCAATGAGAGCCTTGGGGTTTGATGTAAAAAAAGCTGATGTACTGAAGATTCTTAAAGATTATGACCGAGAAGCCACAGGGAAAATCACCTTTGAAGATTTTAATGAAGTTGGTGTGTATTTTAATAATCTTTGTAACCAGTTGTTGTTGGTAAATTATCTAATTAATACAAGATTTTTCCTTTTTTAAAATTCTCATGAATTTGAATTTAAATTCTTAAAATTCTCATGAATTCTCAAGAAGCAACATGATTATAGAATTTTGTTATTCAATGTTGGTGTATAATATAGCTCTTATCCAGGTTATCTTTTGGTGCTCCTTTTTTTCCTGGTTTTCAAAGAAAATATATTTATAACTTTGCTGTGAGATTTATAGTTTTGTCTTCATTTTGTTCTAAAGATTCTAACAAGGAACTATTGTTTTTTATGAAAAGAAGTTTTTCTAAGTAATGTGTATTTATTTTATGTTAAAACTAAAAGGGTGATCAAAAAATTATTTTCTCTCAGTAAAACAGAAAATTTGGTATCCTGCTGTGTGGAAAATATTTCCCAAGAACTTTTTGGTATGTGATTTTTGTTGGCAAAGTGGGAGAAGAGGAGACTTATAGCAGTTAGTACCTTTGGCTGTAGATGAAGCACATGCCTTCAGGTTGACAGAGTTTATGAGGGACTACATAATTTGGATAGACTTGATTTCAGTGAATAAAGTCATTTGTTTAGAGTTGAGGGTGGGGAGAGGATTGTAGTAAGGGAAATAATTGGCTGACTGGAAGTAGGAGAAAACATTTTGGAACTACCAACTGAAGATAATGGGCTTAATATAATTAAATTTTGTATAGTTGATTTTGGTGAATTATTTATAGCATACATAGATGAGGCTTTTCAGAATGGAAGATTCTGGAAGGCCAGGACTTGGCTATTATAACTTAAATTGCCTAGAATATTAAACATAGAATGTATAAATATTCAGGTTTATTTCAATTAAATTATTTTTTTAAACCAATGATAACACTTTGTATGAGTCATAATACAAGCATATCATATATTTGTTTTCAGGTATTTAAAAAATTTGGAAACAAATGCAGTTGCGTGCGTACACACACACACACACACACACAAACACACACATGCCCCTTATTTTAAATATTCAGCAAGAAGCAACATGGGAAGCAAAAAGAAAAATAGATTCACAGTAGTTATTATTTTTTCTTTTTCTGATTTGAAAGCGCAAACCAAAAGTGGTAGAGACTAAAGATAAATGATAAATCTAAGAGAAAGAATCCACAACATAGAAGAGCATATGATTGTTTAGAGAGGCAGCTTATCCCTTTTGGGAACATATTTGTTTTTTTTCCCTCTAGCTTGTGAAAGTATTTACTCGAGAGGAATAGTGCCACCTTTCTTCTTCTGAAATAGATGTTCTTCTGAGTTTTATAATTGTAGTATTTCAAGTTTCAGCTTGAATCATTTATACAAATAATGTGTTAGGATATTTGGAAATGATACTATCAGGAAAGAGCAATAATTCTTTTGAATGGATTACCTTGGAACCAGATTCTCTGGGTTCAGATGTTGGTTTTGTCACTTACTAGTTATAAAACTTGATAATTTTACTTCTCTGCATCTCATTTTCAATTGTAAAATGGGGATAGTTGTAATGTCTCATAAGGTTCTTGTGAGGTTTAAATACGTCAGTAATATTTGAAGTGCTTAGAAAAGTACCTGGCATATTTAAGTGCTACTAAGTGTTTGGTATTATTATTTTAAAAAATAGACTTTGTTTCATTTGTTTTCAGTACCTAAAAAATATATATGCATCACTGGGACATAAAGTGTATCCTATTTTGCATATATTTTTCTCATTGTCTTTTTCATAGATGCAGACTATTTTAAGCACTATTATTATCATTAATAATTCTACACATTATTTCATCTTAAATGAATACTTTTATTTTGCACCAGGGAATGAACCCAGGGGCATTTAACCACTGAGCCACATCCCCAGCCCTTTTTATATTTTATTTTGAGACAGGATCTCGCTAAGTTTTGCTTAGGGCCTTGCTAAATTGCTAGTCTGGCCTTGAACTAGTGATTCTCCTGCCTCAGCCTCCCAAGCCACTGGGATTGCAGGCTTATGTTACTGTGTCTGACTAAATGAATACAATTTTAAAATTATAATTTTAATGGAGACCAGATGCCCATTTTGTCTCTATCTTTTCCTGACACCCTGTCAACAAAGCATAAATACTGGGTTCCTTCTAGAATACATAGCTATGGTAAAACTTAAGCTCTGACTCTCAAATATCAACCTTTTGACATGCTCAACACATATTTTGGCTATTTTAAGGCCACCTATTGAGTAGTAGTATCCAATAAAGCTTTATTACTGTTTGGGTATCAAACAATCAAGAACTATGTATAACACCCATTTGTTGATTACTTTTAACTAATAAGGGATCACAGATTAATTTGTTTTATGCTTTGTGACAAGTGGCTCTAAATCAGTTCATTTGAGTCTTAATTTTCTGTACTGTTCCTTTAGATAGTTCCCAGTGAAGTCTGGCACTTAATTGGGTTATAATACTAGGGAAAAAAACACTTAAATATACTTAATCCAAGTTTAGAGTCAAGGCAGCCTGAGGCTAATGAGTGCAGTAGGTATTTTAGGAATTGCTGTCTTTAAGACAAATTGGATGTTTGTATTTCATCTGTTTTTGGAGTATATTACTTACCATTTAATTGCCTATTTAGAATGGAATATTGTATTTTCATTATGCTTATTTGACAAACACTGAATTTTTTGGCATTATGTATTATACTGGTGTGAGGAAGGGGAATTAATGAAAAGTTACCAAGAGATTCTTCTTTTCAGATGCTTACAATTTACTACATCTGTGGTACTATGAGGTAAAGTATAATTTTGTCAAGGGTGGGAATTGTCGAACTATAGCTCTTGGGACACATTTAATGGCACTCTGTACACTTCCAAACGCATTCTTTTATGTTGGTTTTCTGCTAATATGGCAGTTTTGACAGAGACCTTATAGTCCCCTGCAAAGCATAAAATATTTGCAATCTGTCCTTTTACAGGAAAGATTCCTCTGGATGAGGAATTGAAGATGATTTTCTAGAGGGGACTTCTAATTTAGGCCTTTAGAATGTGAATAAGATCTCCAAGGAGAAGTTTGCAGGAGTAGAGAAAAGGCATCATAGGCATACAAAACAACAACAAAAAATGATACTGAAACTATTGCAGTTTGGGAAACTTCAGTTAGTGCCCTTGGCTAAAGATTGGAAAATGACTGGGAAAGTAGGCTTGGGCCACATTAGTAAAGAATGGCATAATATAAAGTTCTGACTTTAGTTAACAAAGCATCATTAACAATTTTTAAGGAATGGGATATGATGTGTTTTAAAAGGATGACTGATGAAAATATAGTAGATGATTTGGAAGAAAAAGATTGTAGAAAGAAAGTATTAGACTTTTTATCCTGATGATGAGGAGGATGAAAAGGAAAGGGTTATATTTAAAAGTTTTTTTAAAACCTTCAGAAATACAAGAGCTAATCATTGATGATGTTTATGGGAATATAATTTAGATATTTGAAGTAGGGGAAACTAGCTGTTAATGATGCCTTTGGGGGCCTGGTGGACTGGGATTCAACAAGGAGCTACTATGGGGATCATGGAAGGAGTTTGGAGTACAGCATGCTGACCTTAAGTAAGTGTGATATGTTTGGACAGAGCCTTTGAAAAGGCAATGAGAAATATAGTTGATATTTCTACCATGACCTTTAGTCATTTTTTTATTTACTTTTAATGTAATGTTTTTGAATTTGCTGTATTCTAAAGTGATTTTTATATGGGTAAGGTCTAATTATTTTGATGAAGTACATTTCTGATAGTGTAGTGAAATCATTTGAAAATAGACACATGGACAGAAATTTGGTATTCTGTAAAATAAATGAAACTTATCTCAATTGCCTGTATGACAGTTGTCTTATTTCAATGGAAAAAATGTTCTTAAATTAAATTTTATTTGTAGAACAGGAAAAGAATGTGAAAGCATAGAGGATAGTCACTATAAAATTATATGCTATCTAATGTTTTAGCTGTTCGGAATTATGGGCATTTTAATTCCTAAGAAATTTTTATTCTAAGAGAGTATTGATACAAGACTATATAGACACATAAATCTGAAATAACTAACACAAAGTACTAGTGGGATAAGAATTTGTACATCTTGGAGCCCCATCTGTTCCCCAGATCACCCTGTTGCTTCTTTAAGTACATTAATACTTTTTTGCAAGCTGCTTTTTTGGTTCACCTGTCATGTTAATTATTTAATTGGTGAAGAAAATTTCTTAACACTTTTTTTTTCCTTGTCCTGCTTTTTTGTTGGGACTAAATTCAAAATAAGTTGAGTATGAGCCATAGAGTTAAGTGTGGTATTTTATTTTGGTGTTATGGCTGTATATATGCCAATTCCTTTTTGACTGAATATTTATGAGCTTTGATGATTTGCATACTTATAGTAATATACTTCAATTAGTTACTTGGAAGCCTATTTGGATAAAATTAATGGATTAAAGTATTGAATATATGTGTAGATGACATAACATCAGCTTCAATAGGTGCTTGTTCAACTAAATACAGATGAAGCAGCAGCAAAACAACTTGTTGAGAACTTGGATTGTATTTTTTCATTTGGGGTTCATTTAAACATTCTAGTACTTCCTATCTACAAGCAGTTGCAATTTTCTAAAGATTCTAAAAGTCTCAACAGGACTAAGTTACTTTTAATGGTGTAATGAAAATCATATAAATAACCTTTTCTTACAGAGATAGAATAGCACGTAGAATAACTTCGTAAGTGTTTATTTACATATTTTCAGAATTTTATCTAGTAACTTAAAACAATTATAACACAGATTTTCAGTTCAGTTTTCATTATTGTGGCTATTTATTGAAGACAGAAAATGTGGAAAATATTTAAGCTGACTGTATTGTTATATATATTACATTTAGTATATTAAAGTAAACTATTACTGTTAAAGTCTGAAATCACATTTATTTTCAGCAAGTTGTTTGAGAGTTCTTATACTGAGCAAACTGGATATGACTTTAGGGAGACCTCCTTTTCAGAGGGTTTTATTTTTTCTTTTAAATATAGCTTTCTTACTATAATCAGATTTAATCCTTTTAACTTACTTTTCACATTTTGGAAAACCAAAAGTTTCTTCTACTCATGAAGATGTTAGTTGAATTTTCAACTACTGTCCGAGATTATACCTCTATCAATGATGGCAGTGCTTTTTGTTAACTCCTCAGGTCTTGTGTTGTTGTTTGTTTTTAAGTTAGATTAAATTTGATGAAGAATAAATGTATTAAGTTTAGTTAACAGATGGCATTTTATCTAGTTAGCTCTAAATATTTTCTTGATATTTCTTTCTAGAAGTAGGCTATAAACTAGATTTATTTTTGCTTGATGTCAGTGGAACCTAGTATAATTCTTATTACAGTTCAATAGTAGACATTAAATAAATAAAGTATATATGTAGTCCTTTTTATTTTTTGCATTTTTGTGATATACATAGTTTTGCATACCCTTATAAGATAAATTGTTGACATTTAAAATCTAAAATATAGATTTGATTTTTCTAATTTCAAGCTTATTTATGAATTTTATGAGTCTTATTTGACATTTTATTTATAACTATGTTAGACTAAATGTTGACAGATTTGCAGCTTTTCTTCTTATTTAATATTTAGTTGATTTCAAATATGAATGCTTTTGTGATTATGTAGGTTTTGTTTAAAATATATATATATATATATTTTTTAACTGTAGTGACAGACTGGATATTGGAAAGAGATCCACATGAAGAAATACTGAAGGCATTTAAACTATTTGATGATGATGATTCAGGTAAAATAAGCTTGAGGAATTTGCGACGAGTTGCAAGAGAATTGGGTGAAAATATGAGTGATGAAGAACTTCGGGCTATGATAGAAGAGTTTGATAAAGATGGTGATGGAGAAAGTAAGTTTTGCATAATTTTCCAAGTATCCTTGATATCACACATACACTAAATTTTTCTAAAACTAAGTGACTTTCAAGACCCTTTACAAACTTATCATTTCTTTCTTTCTTGAGACAAGATGTCAAGGTGTTGCCCAAAGTGGGCAACTCCTGGGCTCAAATAATCCCCTGCCTCAGCCTCTCAAGGAGCTAGAACTACAGTCAATGAGCTACTGTGCCTTGCTCTAAACTGTCACTTTTTGTTCAGTGTGTTATTCATCTTGTAATGTCATATTTTTGCTTAACTATTTTGCAAATTCAATTTAAAATGAAGCAGATCTTTAAAACCTACTGTACAGTTTTTAATATGAAGTGCCATGCTTCAAGAAGTAGTTTAGTTTTCTCTGAAGATAAAACATCACCAAAATTTTAACCACTCAGTAAAATTTTATACTTTAATGCTTTTTCCCTCAACCTGCATGCATTTCTAAACCAAGTTATATTTATTTTACTGTTCGAATGTTTTTAATCTGTATTTCCCTTGTTCACTGCTGCTGTCCTAATTCACACCCTGATTTCTTCTTAGCAATTTTGTAATAGCCTTATTTATTCTTTGCTTGGCTGCCTATTAGGAGCAGTGTTCTGTGTGCTGACTAGTGCTATACAATGAAACAGGCAGATGTGGTTCCTGCCCTTACTTTGCTGTCTTTTACAGCCTTCTAATTGCACTCATGTACATAAATCTCTAATCTTTCTTCTTCAGTCTATTGATAGCATTATTTTCCTAAAATACAGGTTTGATGATACCATTTCTGTGTTTAAACATTTTAATGGTTCTTCATCGCCCACAGAGTAAAGTATAAAGCCTTCTATGATCTGTCCCACTTTAAGTAACTAGTTTTATTTCCCACTGTATTCTTCCACTTTTCTACTTTAGTTCTCACCTCCTGTATGTACACACTTTGACAGGATACTCTGTATCCTTTTTTGTGCAGTGCCTTTCGTCATGCTGTTCCTTAATCTTAGAGTGCTCTAATTTGCCAATTTCTGTCTGCTAAAATGTTATTCATTTTACTGGGTACATTTTAAACACTAGCTTTTCCTCAAAAAACCTCCCTTAATGGTGTGTTTGAATTGAGTCTTCCATTGAGACTCATAGCATTTACAAGAAATTTTGCTTTGATACTTTCATGTATTTAATATGGATTTTTTTTGTTTGCGAACTAAATTTGGTTAGAGGTATAAACTATTTTTTTGTATTTTAAACTGCTAAAGATCATACTATTTTGCTGCTTCTTTTGTGGACTTTAGTAATTGCTTTTGTGAATTTTCATTCTGTCTAGTTTTTAAGGACAATAAATTTTTAAAAACTTATGTATAAAGCAAAATAAATATGTGTGTGGAGTTGCTACAAGATAGACATAAAGCTGTGATAATGGTATAATATCATACCCTGATCTCCCTAAATAAACATAGATTCCTGGTTTTCTATCAGCTTCTGAACAACTCTTTCTCCTTAACTTGAAGTTTATTTTTGCTAGGTTTGCATTATTCTTTTTCTGTTACTGTATTTCTGATGGTATTCTTCTACTTTTGCTCTTTTTCCACCTCTTTCAAATTCCTTCTTATTTCAAAGCTCAAATAATGGTTTGCTTTTACCTAATTTCTGTCATTAATAATGATTTTTTTTCCTTCTATAATAGATATTTTTCAACACTGGTCTGTATTTTAATAATAGGTCATATTTTATGTTAGTAATTTGTATTCTCTGTTTAAGGTATAAAACCTAATTGACATAGTTATTGAAACTGGTTTTCAATGTGATTTCTGCAACTAGTATGTTCTTATTTATTTATTTATTTTAATTAGGTAGACATGACAGCAGAATGCATTTTGATTCATTGTACACAATTGCAACACAACTTTGGAACTAGTATATTCTTTTAATTCCTGATGTACATGGTTGTTTCCTCAACATTTTTAATTGGTTAATTTTTCTTTTTATTATGTATACTCTCAAACAGAAAATTGTTTAATTATTACAATGAATACCCATGTGCACCTGCCTAGATTCAGTAATTAATATTTTACTGTATTTGCTTTATCCATAAAATGTTTTTTGAACCACTTGAAAATTTTTACTATATCTATATGTCAAAAATGTCTCCCCAATATTTTAACGTTATTAAGAATAAGGATTATTACTAAGAATAAGAATAACATTAATAAGAATAAGGATATAGTTTTGTACCTCAGACAATTAACAATAATTTTATAGTATTATTTATTATCTTTCCTCACTTCAATTTAGATATATTACAAAGTAAGAACCTTAGTGTCTGTTTTGATTTATTAGATAACATTTAGGTGGTGTTGGTGTTCTCTAGACACTTAAATATGTCTGATTTAATTCAGTGTTTTTATATTTTGTCATTGAGGATTTTTAGAATTAGAAACAATCTAAAACATCATCTGATTTTCATTATATTCAGATGAAGAAAATGAGATGAGGAACTATTCTTGGCAGAGGTATAACTAGAAGTCAGGTCTTTTATTTCTCAGTGTAGTTTTTCTTTTTAACTATTATTAAAATTATCAATAATAGTTTGTGGTTTAAGAGATGTTAAATCTTGGAGCCATAAACTCATAAACTCACCTGTTAGATACAGAACATTATTTTCTGAACATTTTTATTAATTTGGGTTTGCATGTATGTACTGTTTTTAAAATTGTATTTAATAAGATTATCTGATTTCCTGTTTATTTCTAGGTTATTTCTTAAATAATATGCCCTATAAATTGGAGATTCTTTCTGACATTGGTAAACTTACAAGTTGTTATCAGTGGATTTTCCCCCCTACATTTACATCTATATTTTATAGTTGCTATATTTCTTTGATAATTAAGATGAAATCTATATTTTTCAAATTGCCATTTCTGTTGATACTTTTGAGGTGTGGTGACCTGGTTTCAGTTATTTTTTTCTTTAAAATAAACTTTTGAAAGTTCAAGAAGAACAATTTGAGTTTTTAAAAATTTAATTTTCATTCTTTAGAATTCTACTTATTTACATGCATGATATGTTTAAGCTTATTTGTGAAGGAAGGGTTTGCTAAGTGAACTAGTAGAATAAAGATTATAAAGAGGAGTTGTTTAACCATTTAAGAAATTTAAAATGTCATGTTTTTGAAACTGTTTTATCAAGTGTATACAAATGCTTTGACTGTGATACTTTCTAAGTAACACATAATATACTGTCTTTTCCATGGTTAATATTATGGAGTACTAATTTAGAATGATTATCGTATGTCTTTTCATATTCATAAAGTTCTGTTTAATAAACATCTTTTAAGTTTTTAGCAAAGAAGTAAAAGCAAAAAGCCATCAACTTACTATAATTTTGTATAATATAAAATTTAAAAATTAATATAAGATGATTGTTGTATTATTTGCTGAACAAATAAGGTATCTATTTCTGACTGTTTTATTTTCTTTCTTACTACAGTAAATCAAGAGGAGTTCATTGCTATCATGACTGGTGACATATAAAGAATTACAAGGATAAACACTAAGAATGTTGAAATTACCATATTACATTCTATTTTTTTGTGCCTGGAGCAATGTTAAAAAAGAAACCTACTTAAGTTCTTATTCCCAGAAGGACCAACATTAAGCATCTTCTGTATTTATGTTTTATTGTTAACTTTCTTTGTATGAGCATTGTTTAACTTTGTATTCATAATATAGGTTTCTATAAAATTTTTAAAAATCAAATCGTGGTACATATTCTTTGCAGATTTTTTTTATTTAACATTAGTCATTTCTTTTGGTGCACACTTTTTTTAGACTTTCATTAATAAATGTTTATTAGTATTTTAAAGTTTTATAAATTTTCTATTTTACTTTGCTTTCTAAAATCTTTTAACCCTTTTAATAGAATATTCTAAAATCTTTTTATATTTTTACTGGTTTCTAAAACAACGATTGAAATACAAATAGTGATAGAATAATACCTTTATTTCCATCACGAAGATCTCATCAAATTTTACATTCTGTTTCAATATTAGATGACTCAACATAGGCCTCATTTCTTTAAAGTCATGCCTTTCTATTTAGAGGGACTAAACATTGTGTATATGGATTTGACCTGTTTAACTTAGTGTTCTTGAACTCCTTTGGCATGTTAACATAAGAATGAAAGTTAAATCTGAATATTTCTTCCGTAACCTAATTGAGTGAGAAAAGTTTGAATCACCTAACTTCATAAAAAAGTGAAAGATTTAAATTTTGATCATTTAGAAAATATGAAAATATAAAATAGTAAGCTACAGAAATAATTAAAGGTTATGTTTAACGAAAATAAAGGAACATTCTGTGATTCACCAGGAAACAGTAGATAGACTTTTTCCAAGTATTGGCTCTTCTGCCTTGTAAAAGTTCATTAGGGGGAAACAAATGACTACAGGAGATAGGTCATAGAAAAGTGGTACCCATTCTAGGCCTTCACTAATATGTTTCCTGATTATATGGGCTTTCTTAGGAAGAAAGTTGGGTTGTCTATTTCAGTGACCTTTCTTTAAACTTCATGTTTTAGATTTAATGTAATTTGAGGTACTTTTAAATGCTGTGAGCCTCCTAGAGTATTGTATTAAGAGTTAGCCATTAGAAATTTAATAGAAAACTAGTAGGGATTACTAGAACAGTGATGCTATTCCAAAGAATTCTCTGGGAACAAGTTAATTGTTCACCTTGAATAGAAAATTTGAATGTGAACTCAGTGTTCATAATAATAATCATTGATTCAGAGCAACAAATAGAAATTTAAAAATTTGTACTACTTCTGTGTCTTGATCATGAAATATATTGATTTCCAGGAAAGTGAAGAATAAAACATTAAAGTAAGTCTAGACTTGCTAGTCTATCACTTTATTGGAACAATACCTTTTTTGTTCCCTCCTACTTAAAGAGGTATCTTCTTTGTTTTTAATATAAATACTTTCTTTCCCTGGGATGCCAGTAGTTCTATTTTTATGGTGGGTTAGGGAAGAATACTCACTGTTCATGTTTGTGTAACCTTTGTCTTATAGTAGAATATGAATTATTTGTCAATTTCTTCTAGTGTTAATAATCAGTAACTGTAGAGTTGAAAGGCTTATAAAGTTGGATAGTAGAGGAGAAAGAGTATTTTCTGTAAAAAAAATAAATAAATAAAGAAGGGGCTGGGGTTGTAGCTCAGTGGTAGAGCCCTTGCCTAGCACACGTGAGGCACTGAGTTCGATCCTCAACACCACATAAAAATAAATAAATAAATAAATAATAATGGGCGGAGTGGATATTAGTCATATTTATCTTTAAAATCACAACCACACTTATCATTCAATTGCATTTCATGATATGAAAAAACATATATTTTCTGCTAAACTTCCCTAGCTCTTTGCTGCTATACTTCCTGGTGAGCTTTGCTAGCTTGAAATTTATCAGCTAAGATCTTTTCCTTCATTATTGTTATAAGCCAGTAGAGCTTATTTTCTAAAGAAGTTATGTAATTACTAGTAGCTCTTAGGATTTATAGTCGTCTGGGTAGGTAGTTGATATGGGGAGGATATAGAAAACAGTTTGTTAAGCATTTACTGTATGGTAGTGTAAAAGAGTAGGAAAAACTTTTCCTACACTTAGTTTTTATTTCTGACATCAGATTTTCTAGTGGTCACCAAGTGGCAATTTATAATTCAACTAAGTTCTGACACTGTCTCCAAAAGGTAGTGTCAGATCCAGCAGCTTAAGGACTTGGTTCCACAAAATTGCCTCATGCTTCAGATGGAAATCACAAGCTTGAGGTTGTGACCTATGCTTCTGACCCATAAGCAGCTATAATTTAGAAGTTCCTGCTGCCTACTCCTTGGGTTTAATTAATTTGCTAGGATGGTTCTCAAAACTGGGAAACACCTATGTTACTGGCCACTATAAAGGATATTTAAAAGGATACAAATAACCAGCCAGATGAAGAGAGAAAAGGACACATTTATGGGATAAAGGGGAGCTTCTAGCCCCATTCCAGGCATACTATCCTTCAAGGACCTCTAAGTGATAGTATTTTGGAAGCTCTCTGATCCTGGGTTTTTATGAAGCCTTCATGAAGTAGGCTTGATTGATTACATAGTTGACCTTTGGTGGTCAAAGGAACCTTCAGCCCCATTCCCTTCTCTGGAGGTAGTCGTGGGAGTGGCACACTTACTGTCCTCCAATCACATGGTTCATTCTCATGGTACTATAATTGGAATGAATATTGCTCAGGGGAGGCTGACAAGAACAAGCAAACAAGAAAACTGGAAATAGCATGATTCTTTCTCTTCTTGCTTTCCTAGTTCTGTCCTCTGTTCCTTCTATTAGTGGAACCTAACAAAAATTCAGCTGGAAAAGAAGAAATATGATTTTGACAGTCCCAACTCTAGTCATGTTGGAGTGTAGAAAAGAGATCTGTGCTATGGGGAGAAAGTAGCTTGGTAACCAGTACTGCTGACCATAGATTTTATTATTGGAAAATTTGAAAGTGAAGCTGCTTGGTGTAGGTGAGCTATAATTTACAGTGGGTCAACAGGTGTAAATCAGAACTGTCCCAGCAAACCAGGTTATATGATCACTTGATCTTTGTGAATCACTTTTATTTGAAAAGTCATGTTTTATTCTTAATAACCTTCTAGGATAGATACTGTTGGATTGTCTTTTATGCAAAACAAAAAACAAAACAAAAAACCACCACACACACACACACACAAAAAAAAAAAAAAAAAAAAACCCACCAAAGTTTAGAAGGCTTAACCAAGGGAATAGGCAATAACTGAGTTGGAATTTGATTGCACGCTTTCTTTAGTGTACTCATAACCACTAGGTGTTACTTTCTTCTTAGAGTGATTTTTATAGATTCTCTTAAGATCTAATGGATGAGACCTTTAAAACCACAAAACATAAAAGAGAATTTGAGATTCAGAAGCTCAGCAGCAAAACATTTATTAAACATTTATGCTCAATTTAGCAGGGCATTGTATTATGTGTTATTCCTTGTGAGTAAATGTTTGGTGTCAGACCTCTGGAAGTTTATAAACTTGGATAGACTATATTTTTACATTCATGTAGACAACATTGAAAAAATAAAATACATTAATTTAAAATAATTAAAATTACAGTTTTAAATATTTATTGAAAAAGTACATATTATTGAGTAGTAAAGACTTGAAGTTTTCATTTTGAGGATAAAATTTAGGAAAGTATTTTTTTCAAATTAATATTCCTGAGAAGGTTTTATCTTAGGAATTGCTTGAAATGAAGGGAACTCTGGGTTTAGGAGAATGGTTGGTAGAAGTTATATGGGAATGTCTTTAAGGTAATAAGCACAGAGGAGAAGGGAGCAAAGTTTATGAACCTGGACCTGATAGTCCTAAAACAAAGCTCTTGTAGGTCTCAGTGGAGCTGTGGTGGTTCGGGGTGGAGGGGGAGGATGATGGTGGTGATCAGTAAATGTCATTTTAATAGTAGGATTATAAATTGTTCAGAATTTGGGAAGCAGAAAATCTCAGTGAAATGTGGCAGTCATCTGGGTAAAAGCTTAGTTGAATGTTGGAGATCTTTGTTAAATAGCCTAGGTTCACCCATTCTAGTAGAATAGATTTTCAGTTGGAATAGGTAATTTATTTACGTTTCCTATTCTGAATTCAGTACATCATATAGTTAAAGCATTTATTAAAATCTTCATCCTCAATAGTATGAAAAATTGACAAGAAGGATCTAAAACTAGTAAAGTCTAGTTTATCAGAGATATGTGGAAGGTGAAATTACCTCCATGAGATGTACTCTAAATATTAGGTGTAATTATTAATAATCTATTGTTCATAAAATCCAGCTTATCTTTTTTTATTAGAACTTTGGAAAGCTATATGTTTGTACTGTTCTGAGAATATATAAAATATTTTTTCATGAAATGATGATTTTAGGAAGATTACTGACATTTTGTAGACTCAAAGATCAGGGTTACCTTCACTTTATACTTAATTAAAATGTTTTAAAATAGATTTCTTTATTCCATTATAAAATATATTGGGGATACTTAATAGGATCCCTGGAGTCCAACATTTCCATTTCTGATTTTAATATGCTTGTAACATTTGTCCAACACACTACTGTGTTCTCTGAAAAGAGTGATCATTTTCTCTGTATGGTATTACCATAGACTGCCTATCCCCAGGGCCTTCCAAAAGGTTCATGTAAAACCTGACAGCAAAGAATCATATACTGTTGTGGGACATAAATTCTCGTGACTTATTGATGAAAATGTACTTCTGATGGATAGCTTTTTAGAGTAAAAACCACTCAATATAATCAACTAAATGCTAAGTGATAAAAATTTCCAAATCATATTTCCTACCCTTGAGAATCTCCTGAAGTTTAACAGGATAAAGGTATGGGGTTGGCCTACTGAGAAGCAATCTTTCATTATAAAATGTGCAATTCAGTTGTTTTGAAAGTTCATGCTTTTAAAGGTCCTGCCAAATAGGTAGATGTAACCATACTTAAAGCAAGATCTGCATTTTCTTCCTCATTTTCTATTAAACTAAAAATGTTCAATTTGTGTGAATAATTGGCCCAAACTAAACTTTCCAGGAGAGTTTTTCTGTACCAGTCCTCTTGGGTGGTAACTGATGCTCATCTTAGTCTTTAGGAATGGTGAGGCATTTTACAACATGGGCCATAAAAACAAAGAAAGTGGGGAAAAGAAGCAA